GGAACCTACCTCTGTTATCACAGAGGTAGGTTCCTAGATGAAAATCTGTGGCCTAGGAAAAGACTAACGAACTGTGTGTGCACGTGTGTTTGGGGAGAGGGGGGTGCTAAATCCCTAAGTCATCTATATGCTGCAGTGGGGAAGGGGGCACCTGCTGTAGAGAGAAACCCTCTGAGTGGCGAACCCCTCTTGTGGGGCCTGCCTGGACATGCTGCTGGTTGGTAAGCAATGCAGCCATTTTATACAGCAGTTCTAAGCCGGGTTTAGAAATGGGCAAGAGCCTGGAGATAAACGGTGAAGCCTGGAGGAGTCACTATGCTTCCTTTTTGCTGCTCTTGCAGGAAGGGCACTTGGCTATCATGGCCCAGGGACTTGCCTCCCCAGTTGGACTCTTTTCCGATGAAGAAGCTGCTGTGTCCCCTGTCCTGGAATCCACCGTGGCAGAATGTGGACTTGGTCTGCGGCGAGCTCTTTTGCCAGACTTCTCTGCCATCGCTGCAGGCCAAGAGCAGGTACGATTAGGGAGGAGAAGAGCCATGAAGAGAGGACCCTAAGGCTGGGGTCTCATCTCTACCAGAAGCTGAAACAGCTTCATTTTTACTGTTGGTCTCCTGGGATCAGGGCAAGAATTCCAAATTGGATTCTGCTGCAGCAAAGATGATTGTGTTGGGAAACATTGACAGAATCAATATTTAATAGTTGTAAATAGAATGTAATATTACTAGTTCATGGACTTCCAATCCTATTTGTGTGTTTTGGGTCAATTAAGAGAAAATTTGAAGGGTCTTATTTACTCCTGTATAAGGGTGACTAGGGGAGAATGAAACAGGCCTCACTCTGTTGCTGTTTTTATTATATTTGGCCACTTCAAGCAGCTGACAAAACATGTCACTATTGGGCTTGATTTAAAAAAAAAAAAAAGCTATTTTTGGAGTATGGCAGCCTTCCTTAAAGGATACACTGGTCAAGAATTATGAGAAATGAAGTCCAGTGCATTTGAGAACACCAAAATGAGGAAGGTTGGGGTATAGGCTTACAGCTTATATCTAGGAATTGTTAATAGTGTGTCCCAAAGTCCTTATTTTTTGCTGTGTTTAATTAATCCGTGTAAGTTAGCTCATCTACCTAAATCTTCTGTTACATAAAAATGGTTTTGCTGGATTGGACCATAGGCCCATTTAGTCTGGCAATCTGTGTCACCCAAAAGCCAACTGGATGCATTTGGAGGGTCACCTGGATTGGAGAGCCACTGTCACTTTCCTGCAATCTATATTTAAGGCATACTGCCTGTCATCCAGGAGACAGTAAGCTGTGGAGTCCTTGGTGCTCTCTGAGCTTGGTTATTTGATTGCACATATTTCATTAATGGAGCACTTGGTTCGTGTGGGTTGTTTTTCGATAGACTTGTGTTTCTCATTTGCTGTCATTAATAACAGCTACCATCTGTCATTAACAGTGCTTTGTAATGTTTGTAATATTCTCAATATCCTTCCAAATAGTATTGCTACAAAAACATCTTTTAAAAACTGGAGGATGAGTGAATTTTGCATCAGTGTTTTGTTATTTGTGTTGGTTACTAGTTAATGATCCCAACTCAAAGTGCTCACTGTATAGCCATGGTGCCTGTCTTATAGAACATTCTCTCCCTGAAGTGAGGTCAGCTCCATCTCTACTTATTTTCCAGAAGTCCCTCAAGACCTGGCTTATGTCATCAGGCCTGGGGGTTTCAAGGGACTGGTGAGATCTTGAGGTGGCTCTCTTGCTGATCTAATCTCTTGTGTATGTGTGTGTATGTATGTATGTGTGTGTTTTAACTTTTAATATGACTCTGTTTGACATGTTCATTGTTTTATATTTTTTGCTGTACGCTGCCCAGAGTCATTTCTTGTGAAAAGGGGTGGCCATATAAATTCAATAAATAAATAAATAAACATCCTCTGCTGATGAGGCTATCCAGGAAGGGTTGCGTGTTGCTGTTTGCTTCTTCCCTTGTGAATTTTATTCCTTTCAAGATGTCGTTGATTGTTTCATGTGTCTTCTCTAGTTGTTCCTTTTTTATTATGACGAAGGTGTTGTCTACATGCTGGATCCATACTTTGGGTTACATTTGTGGGAGTGCTATAGTTTCTAGATGCTGCATTACCGTCTGCTATGAGAGTGGTGATCCCACGAGTGTTCCTCTGATTTGTTGGTATATTTGTCCATCAGACTGAAAGCAGGTAGTGAGGCAGAGGTTGATGAAGTCCAGGCTTCTCAGTAAGCTGTCAGAGCCACTGATGGCTTGATCCTCCATGAGCCTGTCCAGTCTCCTTTTAAAAGAATCCAAATTGGCTGATAACAGACAGTTTAATTATGTGCTTTACCAAAAGTATTTCCTGTTACTCCTAAATTTTCCAGCATTTAGTTTCAATGGGTGACCTTAAGTTCTACTGTTGTCAGAGAGGTAGGGGAAAATCTCTCTCTGCACGCTAATGATGTGATGAGTGTGGTTTGTGTGTCCCTTTGCTTTCCTCTGTTCTAAGCTAAGGAGCCCCATCTGCTACAATCGAACAACTCCGGTTGCCTGATTATTTTGAAACCCCTTTCTTGCATCTTTTCTGGCTCTACCGCATCATTCTTAAAGTGGGTGCCAGCAAGGCTCACACAACTTTTTTCCAAAGCTTCAGGTTGCATTCAGTGGACTCTGAATGACACTGAGCCATTAATAAAGCAGCCCAAGCTTTGGCATGTGGAAGGCCCTTGCTTTCTACGATTTCTGATAATCTAAAAATAGAGGGGGGCAAATTTCTCTCTTGCATGCTATTGCAGTATAATTAGTTTGTGCAGTATGATTTTTAGTCTGCCTTTTGATACAATCTCTAGGCAATGTTTCTATTAGACCTGTAACCAAAGAATTAGCTTTGGATCAATATGTGATATTTGGTTTTACCATCACCCATTGCTTCTTGGCTCTCATTGCTTCTTGGCACTAGCAACTTACTGTAGCCCTCTTCAATCAGTCAGGTCATACATTCATGTAACATGGGAAGAAGGAGTAGGGAAGTCCAGCCTACTACCCTCCCTCTTCATCTGTTCACCAGACATGTGGTCTGAATAGAAGAACTGATGTAGCAATATGTTGCACAAGCCTGCAAACTGTTAGAGTTTTTCCTTCAGCTTAGATTCTAGCTAAGTGGAGGGGAGGGCAATGGGAGGAGGGGGGGCTGGCTTCTTGTGCAAGGAGCCACACTCTGTAAAGCACACAGGGCAATGACAAGCACTACATTCCATTTGATTTACATTTATTTAATTAAAATTAAACCCGGTAAATATGATTACTTTCCTCTGTAATACTTGTAACAACTTGCCCTTTCAGTTGCATTAAACATCAGAGTTTGGGGGCAAGTCTTAAAGCAGATCTGCAGCTGTGCCCGAGGCCTTTACGGGCCCTGAGCAGCTGAAGTTCCATCCCTATTTTAACCTTACAAACATAATACCCCTTAATTTTTCCTTGTCTCCTGAATTGTTTCTTGTCATTGCTGTGCAGCCTCTCCATTTTGAACTTGCTCCAGTTTACGATGAGAGGCTATAATTTGCCCGAGTTGCTGAAGGGGTGGGGATAGGGATGTTGGCTTCTATTTTTAATAGGTTGTTAAGTGTGTGTGCATCAAATTGATACTAGAACTGTTTTGACCAACTGGTAAGGGAGTAACAAATAACCTGTAACCTCTATAGGCTGTTTCCAGTGACAGTGGAAAGGTGAAGGTGTATGCAAGAGTGCGCCCGCTGAAGCCCACAGAGATTGAGAAGCAAGAGGATCAAGTGAGTGCCTGAGACAAAATAGGAGCCATCAGTCAGTTACTGTACGAATGCCTTGATAAGCCAGTTCCTTCAGCTTGGACACTGGGCTCACTTGCAACTGGTGTGCAGAGTTTTATATGTAAAAGAGCATAGGGGTGCTGAATATTCTCAGGATTCCTGTCTTTAATAGCTGTTAACACTTGCCGCTGTGATTCTGGTACAAGTAGTGTTTCACGTTTAATGTCCAAAGTCTCTGAATTGGCCAGTTCAGAATTTATCTTGGGTAGCTTGATGTAAAAGAGTGACTCAACAGAGAGACATTTGCAAGTTTTGGTACAATCTACATTCTTTCCACACAAGGGGATAGCTGCTACTGATTTAATTATGTTAGATGACAACACTTTTGACCTTGCTGATCCTGAGCCTTTGCTTAGTCATGGGTGGAGATGCAATGGAGATTTTCAGGTAAAGGTGAGAGGCATATCTCAGAAATGAAAAAGCAAAACATGATCTCTTGGTACCAACTCAGTTTGGCCACTGCTACAAGAAAGAGGTCTCAGAGACTGAATAGGTAATTTTTGGTTTTTTATTATTGTGCCATAAGACACTGGAGATATTTTGAAAGATGGCTGGATATAAATCTTTAAAATTAAGAGAGCCTGCAGATAATAGGCATTTTGCTGATATTTTTATTTATTTATTTATTATTACATTTGTATGCCACCCATCTCCCCCAACGGGTGACTCTGGGTGGCTCACAATTAAAATCAAA